TCTCTCTCTTCCCTCTCTCTCTCTCTCTCTCCACCTCTTCTCTCTCTCTCTTCACCTCTTTCTCTCTCTCTCTTCCACCTCTTTCTCTTCTCTCTCTTCCACCTCTTCTCTCTCTCTTTCCAACTCTTTCTCTCTCTCTCTTCCACCTCTTTCTCTCTCTCTCTCTCTCTTCCACCTCTTTCTCTCTCTCTCTCTCTCTCTCTCTCTCTCTCTCTCTTCTCTCTCTCTCTCTTCTCTCTTCTCTCTCTCTCTCTCTCTCTCTCTCTCTCTCTCTCTCTCTCTCTCTTCTCTCTCTCTCTCTCTTCTCTCTCTCTCTCTCTCTCTCTCCTCTCTCTCTCTCTCTCTCTCTCTCTCTCCTCTCTCTCTCTTCTCTCTGTCACTCTCCATCTCTCTTGTTTTTTATGAATAGATGTTGAGGTGAAACAGACCAAACACACAGCAACACTTTTCCCAAACACCACCAAAATATAAACATTGGTATTGATGAGACAGGACTTGGTCTGGCATGGTATCCAGCAACTTGGTACTTGTATTTCTTTGCCATTGCAGGGACTTTTCTCACATAAGCATCTTACACAGGGTCTTGGGTTTTAGGGTGAAGTTGTGTTGGGTAAAGTTGTTTGCCTTTGAAACGTTTCTCTTGTTTTATATTTTTTTCTCAATGAATTATATGTAAGATATGAATATTGCATCTTATGGCTAGGGAGAAATAACAACTAAATTTTTTTTAAGATGATATGTGTATATTTTGTATTAATACCTTTACTCAGTATTGTGAAATGAAGAATGCATAGCAAAAAAGAAATGTTGATTTCAATGAGCACTTTAATTTCCAAATTTGCCTTTCTGTAAATTTATAGTTATTATTGTTTTTAGTCTAATCCATGTAATGTAAGCATGTATCTTCTGAGTTTCTATCTTAACCTCATATTTGTTGTCAAAAACACCTGTTCTTGAGCTCAACTCACTATGTTTCAGCCTCTTTGCCTGCCAAACAATGGGCATGATAGACAACTGTTCACACAGGATTTGAGCAGATGTTGGTTTTCATTCTCTTGAAAGTAAATACTGTTCAAATCTTATGAGACAATGTTGTCATATCTGAGCCAGACACCCTCTTGCCTGATAATGATATACTTCTATTGACAGTAACCCAGTAATGCCGCAGTACATGCAGTAATGCCAAAATACTGTGGAATTTCACATTTTAATGTCAAATTCTAAAAAATCTTCAATCTGCTCAGGTTAAGAATTGATTTTTTTTTTTCTAGAATACATGTTCATTTTGTTCCTTGAATGGTTTAGATAGACTTTGTTTTGATATACAAATTACATCAGGCTCATTAAGCAGTATACATTGACATTACTGCAAGAATCATGCACTTACACCCTCCCCTGGTTCTACAGTGATGCAAATACCAACCCTCTCTCTCTCTCTCTGTCTCTCCCTCACTGTCTCCCCTACTTTCTCCCTTTTTTCTGTCTCCAACTATTAACTTAACAGGGGTTCAAATTGCAGGTTTAAAGCTTCCTGACCCAAGAAGAGGTTCAAGATTACCAGGTATGTGGCTTGTTACTCGCTTAAGATTAAAAGACTGTATGAGTAAAGCTTTGGAAATACACACAAAAGTTTGTTAAATGTTTTTTGCTGATGACTTGAACTTTACTCTTGCTGAATTAAGCTTAATAGATTTGTCAAAGATTATGATTTTGTATGTTTTAGACTCTCTTTTCATATCTTTTGTGTATATGCAATGTGGGTGTTTTTCTAAGGCTAGTGCATGCCTTTTTCTCTCTAGCTTTTTATGGTCTGAGCCTTAACCTTTGCACTTATGGAATGATTATGGAATGTCTTGAGTACTGTAGCTCTTTTTGCAACATTGTTTTTTCTCTAGTTTGCTCTCCACATCCTCTCCAAGGCCTTAAGGTAGCAAGCATCCACGCTGTTCTTAGCACATTTTCCGGGACTGCACAGATACGTGTTTTACACATTTTACATCTGTTTTTGAGGCACAGAAATATGACATATTGAATGCAGTTCTCATAAATACACACATTTTTGTGTAAAGCTGGAGTCAGTATAGATAAAAAAGATTCAAACACATGTATTGAGTTTTTTATAGTGTGCAGTTTTTGATTTTGTAATGCTTGGTGTAAATCACTTTATTATTGGAAAATATTTGTTAATCAGGTAGTACACAGAATATCACTTTATTTCTTTTGTAATTGCATGCCTTGATCTTAATTTGATAGGAAATATACCTGTAAAATTATCTTGGATTATGTATTATTTTGTCATAATGTGTGTCACATATTTGTGTCACACTATTGAATATCCTTCTTGATATGAAATTGCTTCAATGAATTACAGTCAGTCAGTTTGTAATTTTGACAGAGCCCAGTACTGTTTTGCAACCTATGTGAACGTGTGAGTGTAGAGGCTTCTTTTACAAAAGAAATCACAATGCATATGTTTAACAGTTTTAGGAATAACTTAATCCTACTCTCTTCACACTGTGATTTGATTATGTATCCTGACTTTTGTGTGACAAACAGATTGATGATGCCAGTAAGCATCTTTTCTACAGCTTCTCTTTTTTGCAGAATCAGCTGTAACCCTTATATGATGTGCTGGTACAGTTAAGATATGGGAAAATCATGTAGATTGTGATTATTTTTTTCTCTCTTTCTCCATCTACTCCTCTCTCTCCCTCCCCTCCTTTCTGGAAAGAGAATCATGAAAGGATTTTTCAGATTTTTTTTTTATAGATATAACTATAGAGAATCTTTAGATAAAATATATGATTCCTACTGTTAGCAAGAATTGTTAAGTAACACAACTTTCTGCTTAGTGACATGGATTTTATTAACATCAAAGGAAACCTTTGGAGCGAGTAAGTATGATGTTTTTTTCCCGGTTCCCCTTTTAAAATGTTTTGAGGCTGAGAATTTAGTGCATGGGAAGGCTTCTTTAATATGGACCCCATTTTTCATCTTTTTCCTTTTTTTCTCTCTCTCTCTCTTTTTTTTCTTTTCTTTTAAACATTTTATATACATTTTCAAAGTGTTAGTTGTAGACTGAAACCATAAAAACCCCATGACCAGCAATGAGGAATGAGTACATCCCTTGAGATTATGATTCTAAAACCTTGCGCCAAATTACAACTTAAACTGAATGCTTGCAACTTTCCGTTGGTGTGTCATTTTTACGGACAATTTATGTAAACACAGAATGCTCATTGTGATTTTCTTTTAAGGATTGGTAATGTATTTTAGGTAATAGTAAATTGTATGGTTATTGATACTGTCTTTTTTTTAGTTAGTATTTTTTATTATTCTGTTTGATTGTTTATTATTTATTTATTTATTTATTTATTTTTCTTATTTACTTTACTTTATTATTATTATTATTTTCCAATTGTTCAATTCCAATACCTATTTTCATTTTATTTTGTTACTTTGATGAAAGTGACATGTGAATAAATAATTATGTTATTGTCTTTTTAAAAGTTGGGAAAGCAGTTGACACTAATTTTATTAGTTCATTTTGTATCTGATTTATAATTATTATAATTTATTTATGGTTTATTTTTTTGAAAGGGGTAAATACTTTATGCATTGGTACACTTTCCACATGCCATGATTGGGGGTATTTAAAGGTTTTTGCCATCTCCTGAAGAGATAAAACAGACTATGTTATGCATATGTGTGCTTGGCTTTTATCTAACTTGAAGTTCTGCAATTACCACTCTTACACATAAGCTTTGAGGCAGTGCAAAGGAATAGGCATGTAAGAATTCAGAGAGATTGTTTTGAGTGTCATTTCTTAAATCCGTAGAATGCTTTAATGCTTTTGGACTAAGTATGCTGTGTTTTCATGGTGCAAAAATTGTTCAGATTTTTTCTCACTCTCTGTCTCTGCATTTTAATGATAGTAAAGATGATCTGCACACTGACATTCAAGATGGGTTAGGATGTGTTTGAATTTGTTAGTATTTTTAATGACAGTGAACTATACCTGTGTATTGATTAACAGTGTTACTTAAATATTTATGACTGTGGTAAATTAGGACATTTCCTTGACAAGAACTCCAGTTGATGCATCTTTGCCAAAGAAAAATATCGGCAAATACCAGATGTAGAAGATCGTAAGGCCAGTTATAATATAGATTTAGCTCAAGTTTGATACTGATTTTCCCAAGTACTTAGCTTCAGTGTTGACAACCTTGAATATCCAAATCACAAGAATGTCTTCTTTTTCCTACTTTCTCTGAAGAAAGATTTTATAACTCTCTTATCCAACATGTTAGAGGGAGAATGATATATTTTTTGAGTGCCCCTTGAGTGATTTTGACATCTAGGAATCCACCATCTTTACATCAAGTGAAGCTACATTTTGCTTTTTTGTATTCACGTGTATTCGGTATATGCAGAACATGTGCCTTGGCTCATAATAAACTTGTAATGAGTATACACTTTTTTAGCTTGGGAAAATAGCATAATACTCTTACTTTGGCATCTTTTAATTACTGTGAATTGTGTTCTTTTTCACTGAGAAAGCACATAGATTATTCATTTTAAGTTTTTATTAGAATTTGGTAGTTCACTAGCTTGAAATGCATTTAACCCATTTACGACAGGTGTCCCATATATGAGACACCTGGAAAGATAAACGTTGCCGGGCGACCCGCCAGTGTGATGTTGGATCAGAGCTTGCTGGCAGATTCTGGGCCAGCCCCTGGCTCCGATTTTGTAGCCGCCCGGAAAATATTATTTTCGGTTTCAAAATATACCCGCATCAGTGGGTTAAGCAGGTTATAGGAGTGGTAGATTTGACGTGGGAGAATACTCTATATGCATCAATTGCAGATGTACATGGAGATACATCGAGTCCTCAGAGAAAAGATTGTCTAATAGGATTGATATGCATTATGTAGTGCAAGCTACATTGGCCTATTAATTCTGTTGCCTATTTTTGCTTCTTGGTTTGTACTTCATGCATCACCCTTATTTCATTAGCTGGCTCTCCTTGCTTAATTTTGCTACTCCATTTCTCTTCTGGTAAATGCTTATAGTAACCTGGAGGAAAAAATATTGATAAGGATTGTAGTAATTCTCGTTAAAATTAGTGTTTCTGTATAATTGAAAAACAATGTTTTCTTAAAAACTTTATATTATGTGCTTTGCTTGATAGAAAGGCTTTACTAGGCATCACAAGTGCATTTGGCATTTGTACAGTTACAAGTGGGTTAACAAATTTCGTAGCTTGGCTCTCTGTAGATTCAAAGACACGAGTACATGCAGGTAACCTTATTTGCATAAAGGAGATACATGTGCAGACGCAAGCAGACTGTATGCATATTTAGTATAATCCAAAGGAGAATGGAGTTTCTGTTAAATGTCTTGGCTGTTTTTTGTTGCCAATAGGCTACGAAAATTGCTGTTATATTTATTTGTTTTGTTTTTGTTTTTGCTTTATGTGCTGGAGGGTTATTCATTATTGGCCTTTTGTCATTGTGTACCTTTTGATTTATGGTACTAAGAATTGAAGTAAGACATTGTCTTCATATATTTTGATAAAAGATGAAAGGAAATAGAAGTCAGGACATGCAACAATATTATCCAGGATTCATTGCCTGCTGTGCTCTGATCACCTGACCACTTGATCCTTAAGACGTGACTGCTGTACATTCTCTTTGAGCTTGAAGCACCCCAAGGTCCTGTAGTTACACTTAGGCCTCCCTCGTCAGGTATACGTGCAGGAAGTACTGGAATCCCCTATGCCTCGGGTGGTTCCGGGGGATCAGCAACCAGCTCTCAGGAGGATCTGTTATCGGGTCCCCATCCCACGAGCAGCCCCCGTCGCCCCATGCGAGGTCTACAGCCTCCACGACGTTATGCCTCTCACGCGACTCCTTCCAGGGAAGGGTCTGACCTCTCCACACCTCCAGATAGCCCCTATAATTCGCAGCACAATTTAGAAGTTTGTAATGGTGAGCTGTAGAGACTGTCACAATAGATGTCTGTTATAATAGATGATATTTGTATTCTCTGTATTGAAGTAATTCAATAAACAGACTTTTCACAGTCAAAATCAGAGATAAGTGTAGTGATAGCCTTTTAAAGTAAAAATATTCCTTGGAACCATTTTTTTCTCTTTTCAGAAGATACTAAGGGATATTTTAAAATGATTATGCACACTATACATTGTTTTGACATTTGGTGAAAGAAGCTTGATAGATTTAGATATTTATGTATTGTAAATTATATTTGTGTGGGATTATGTACTTGATTATTTCCTGATAACAATTATCTTAGATTATTTCTTTGTAGTCTTTGCACCTCTCTTGCAAATGGGATTTTTTTATGTGGTTTCTTCTCTCTATATTAGATTTTGCAAAAAGCATCTCTTCTCTCTTAGTATTCTGTATAATACAGTATAAAACTTATAAAACATAAGTTCTCTGTAGATTTAGTGTATATTTTAAGACTGTCCTACTATTACAAGACATTCAGCAAGAGATGTAAGCATTGCTGCAGCGGGAGCCAAGCTTGGATGACCATTTCATATTGGATGACCACCATTTCTCCTCCGGTGACAGGTAGGAGTGGTTCTCGTCTCCCTAGCGGCCTGAACCGAGGCTATGGTAGTGACCCCCGATTATTAGAGCACACCACGCCCACCAGTAGCCGCGGTGCGTCACCTGCCAGATCCCACGATTCTCCCTCTGCCTCGCAGTCTGATATCCGCCAAGGACCAAAGGGCTCTAGGCTACGAGGCTCCTCAGGTGCGTTAAAGTTTCAGTTTTTATGTATGTATTTATTTATTTGTTTATTATTATTTTATTTATTATTATTATTTTTAATTATTATTATTATTATTTTTTTTTTTTTTTTTTTTTTTTTTTTTTAGGATGCCAGGAAAATAGGAATGCTATATTATATACATAATTTGGCCTATGGTTTCTTACAAATCAGCCAAATGTTTTTATATATTTACTTCAAAGCTTTTTTTTTTTCTGCACAATACAAAGAGAGGTTTTTGATCTCATTCTGAATTGATATGACTTAGAAGGGAATGTTAATATTTGTAAGTAAATAGGTTTTCATTATCAATTTAAAACAAAAACTTATTGTACATGATATTACTGGTAAGAGTAGATTTTTTTGTTTTTACTTTTTTCCAGGCCAGTGTGTCCCAAGAATAATGCTCATGTGCTTGTCAGTTGTAAAGGTTGAATATTATGATTTTTTTTCTAAAATTTCTTTACTTTATTTTCCAAATGCTGAGCGTCCTCATTTTTTTCTCAACTTCATTTTATTTTGTGATTAGATACTCTTATAGACTTGAGGAATATTTGGTACTCCCTCTACTACTATGTTAAATTTATCTAAGTCATTAATGATTTTGATCTTGGTATTTTCTCTTCGGTCACTTCAAATGACTGCTTCTTGGGATCTCTCTATCCACCTTCATTACGCCTTAGCAGCCTAAGTTTTCACCAAGGCGGAAGGTAAAGGCAGTGTGAATGAATAATGGCTTCTCATGGCACTTACATTTTTTCTTGTCTTTTCTATATTCCTCTTTTGTCTGACCTCTTTTCATTGTTTGCTTTCTTTAATCTAACACAGGTCACTCCCTTTTCACTCACATTCATCGTTACAGCTTTTCCCTGCCACTTGTGTTTCACTCTGATTCCCCCAATCATTGCAGTAGCAGAAACTGAAGCTCTGCTCATAGTGATAGGGTTTAGCTTTTGTCTTGTAGTTTTTATGTAAACCTGTTTCTAGAGAGCTATGGACTGTAAGAGGGTATTCAGGGTTTAGGTTTATGGATACACATTGATAATCCTGGACTAAGATTAGGTTGGACTTATTAGAGGGCTTTTGAGGCCTAAAAAGTATTGAAATTAAGTATAATTGTTTACATTAATGGATATAGGTAATGTGGAGGATTTAGCCTTGCCATTGTGTTGCTTTGGATTGTTTTTTTATTTATTCCACTTGTATGACATTGATACTCGGTACACGTTTCACAAGTTTTGATATTGCAACTAAAAATAAACTTTGAAAGTGCAGATGTTTGCTTTACAAATTTTGTGCACATTTTCATGATTAACTTTCTGATATGTATATTTTATTAGTCATATTTTTTTTCATTGCACTGATTGTAATAGTGAAACTCTTATTGTGAAAGTGTCCACAATTAATCCCCTTTGGACAAGGAAGAAGTAATTGCACAATAACTAAACAAGCATATATCAGAGAAATGCAAAGGTTATTAAGGTGTGTTTTGCCTTTGAAGAATTGTTGATAACAAAAATGGTCCCAGCCATGTCTCTTGCATTCCTCACAAGTTACAATTAAAGTTCCGCACCCTGTCTTGTCTCCACCCAAGGCTCAGGACCTTTTATTGCTGTCACAATGTAGAACTGTTCATCCTGTCACAATATAGATAGAGGAAAACCTTTTGATTTTTTTTCTGAGACCTTTACATTGTCCCTCTCAAAATGTACCATAATGAAAAAAAGGTTTGGGGTATTGTATAAATAGTGGAGTTATTTTGTTGAATAGGTTGTGAGATTCCCCCCCCCCCCCAAGTTTGAGTTCTTTTATATTGTCTTCATATATGTTTCTTGGTTATTTATGAAGTTGCTCCCTTGTACACATGGCACCACTGAAGTGAAATTAGATGGCAAAAAAATTCAAAGATTTTTCTTTTCTTTTTTTCTTCTCTTCTTCTTCCACACCTTCACGTCTTACTGTTCACTTTATTACTTTTGTTTGGGGATTAGGTATGAGGATAATAAGAAGCAATGGATTTATAGAAATACACTCTACATCTACATCATATTAGTAAAGTTGATTGAATGGTCATCTGTTTTCATGACTCAGATTATTCTGCATGTGTTGGTGCTTTTAATCTCTTGTGACATACAAAACTATGATTAAGCCTGCAGTGTGCAGAGAAAGTTTAGATAGACCTGCTAATGACTAAAGTGAAGTTTTTACATCTAGCTGTTCTATATTTCATATTTAATAGAAATATCAGTATGTGTGAGAGTTACCAGATGTCCTGTAGTTTAGATTTATTAATACTATGGTAAACATCCTGATTACAAATGTATGTTTATGTGTTATTTCAGCAAATGGCATAAATTGATATTCCTGGCTCCATTGGCTTGTTTGACTTGCTTGGGACATACTCTGAGTTTTCTTTGGAAATTCAACTCCTCCCAATTAGAACCATATGTATTTGAACTTATATCAAGTTCCTGAATTATAATCTTACTTTCTGGTTCCTGAAGGTCAAGTGCAAAGGTTGTAGTAGTCAGGTATGATTTCCTAATCAGAAATATCAACTGAGTTAACTTTGTGAAATCAGGGTAGTGGTTATGTGCATCCAAGAGCCAGGGAAGGCAGTTGAAGAGAAAATCCCACCGAATGTTCTCTCAGATTTCAACCATTCCTCCTTCAAGCAAAAAATAAGACTGGCTTTAAGTTTCTCTTCTGTCTTGGACTGGATATGAAGCATTGCTGTTCATGGTCTCATATTTTTACTACACTCAGTATTCTATGCTGTGTGGGTAGTCTTACTGATAATGCCCTTGTCAGTATTGTTGATATGGTTGTCTCATTCTCCCAGCTTTTACAATTTGGTCCTTTCAAGTCCTCTGTGTCCCTTGCTGTACATCTTGGCAATCTTTACCACACTTCTGTGGGTGTGGCTGGATTCACCAGCATATCACAACCTAAAAAATTATTTGGGTCATTTTGGAGGCTAATTTAAGTTATGACCCAACTACTCATCAGCTGTTTTTTGATACCGACATTTCTCCAGTAGTTAGATCTCTGGAGATGGGCCAGTGAGACTTGCATAGCTCATTTGTAAATCAGTACAAGATTCAGCACCTCCAGGATGTTTTCTACATGGGATTTTCAATGTAATATGTATATCTTAATTTTTTGCTTTGTTTTATTATTTCCTTCTTTTTTTCTTATTCTCTCTTCCCTTCTCTTACAGTCAGTAGCTTTCCAATATGTGTGTTGCATGGATTTCCATCCTTTCACACCTTTATGGCTTTGATTTTATATATGGTCTCAACTTCTAGAAGTGGTGTGTTTGGACTTTGAAGGGTTGCAGAGTGAATCTGCTTATTATTTTTTGTATTCTGTGGTTTTAGATGTGTTGCTCAATTTCCATGGTTACAGAAAGTAAACTCTGTTGGTATTTCCAGTTAGTTAGGCCTACCACATCGCTGTAGATTTTGGGCCATACTTGTCAAACAGAAATACCTTCCCATTTCAAATACCTCATCTATTAGAATTGAAACCAGTCTTAACATTACTAATAATAAGATGAAAAGGTTTATGATGATACATAAATAAGAGGAGGAAGGTTATAGAAACAGGAAAAAGGGAAACTGTCATTTATTTTTTCCCCATATTTAATTGTGTGACTTGATCATCAGTTTGATAGTGTCAAATTATTAACTGTGTAAGGAAAAAGCTAATATTAATTTTATAAATATGTCAAAATTAAGATATTGGCTTTTAGAAATTTCTAAGAAAAATACAGACGGAGAAAAACTTTACTTCTTCATAAGTCAGACAATTATCATTACCATTGCATTCTAAAATATAGAAAATGAATTGCAAGGAACTTCAAAATTCCTCCAATTCTACCTGTTTTTAAACTTTTTCACATTAGTTTTCCTTTTCTTTCCTTTCTACAGGTGCGTAGCAGATTAAGTGCCCCATCGCCTGTACGTATACCAATGGGCGGAGCATCCGGACTTCCACAACCCACAGAAATCCCGCGGCCTAAAGCCACCGGTATCCCCCGCCCTGGGTCTCGACTTCAGCCCCCTAAAGCCAGGTGAGGATGTTGCAGATTTATATATATTTTTTTTTTTCTTAATTTTTTACTTTTTTCTGTTTTGTTTTAGATTTTATTTCTTTTGTTACATGGACTTTTTGTGTTTTTTGTTTCATGTTGGTTGGCTTCTTTAGAAAGGTATTTTACAATGGATTTTTTTGTGCTCTAGGGATAGTGTCTAAAAAATTTTGAATGAAGGGTATTTATAAAAGAAAAGAAAAAAAAATGCTTGATTTTAATATCCTCCTTTAATGCTGGTTTTGTTCTCACTAAAGTGCCATGAAATTAGATTAGTCATCCCAATACAACAAAATCAAAAAAGATTACAAATAAGTAGATACATTCAAATTTCACAAAGCAAACTGCAGACAAGTAAAATGTGCTGTTTAGGGAATCCTCATATTCTGAAAGCACTTAATTCTCTAGTGTCACTTAAGTTAGGTATGAATGGGGTTTGGTGTGTTTCCACCTCCTCAAATCACAATACCATTACGCTCTTTACAAATTAATTGTTTTGCCTGTACTGTAGAAGAAAGTATTATTTTGTTTGCCAAGTGCATAAAGGAAAGTGCTACTAGCTATTATCAGGTTGTAAGAGTTATTTTGAAAGTCAATGGGGAACCATATTTTTATGACCCATCCAAGGTATCTACTTGTTTAAGTTGGTTAACATTATACTTTTGTTATTTATGAAAGTTATTTGCACCAGTGAACACTATGTTTTTTTTTTAAATGTGTAGAGACTAGAGGCATTAACAGTTAGAATTTAAGTTGATAGTAATAACACATCTTATTTTATTGTTATTAGATTATGAGTTTGCATTCTGTTTCTTAGTAAATGATATAAATAATACATGTAATAAGAATGTGATATAATTGCAAAGCTTTCTAAAATTGCCCATGGTTTGAAATACTTAAATATTGTGGTTCTTTGCAAATGTTAAAGCTCCCATATTTGTTGTATAGTTGCAATGCAAGTGAACATTGTAGGATTGCATATTTAGGCAAAGGTGATTACATAGGGATTAGTGTTTTATGATTAAAAGAATAGCCTGATTTATTAGTTGTTGTTAAAGCCAGCATAAGCAATGTATGTAGGACATACCTGCTAAGTTTTCTGTGTGTCAATTTCACAAATTATATTCATGAATGACCAGTGAAGAGACAGGTAAGTGCACTCCAGTCAGCTTATACCTGCTAGGTCTCTTAGCTAGGTGTTTACATTCCTTTTTTTTTTTTGTGTCCACATCCTCACAATAACTGCGTGACTTCTCTGGAGACTTCTTCCACCGAATTTTACAAGTCACTGATGTGTACCTTCGTATCTACATTTTGATAAACATTTTCTGTCTGTGGATGATCTTTGGTGTAGATGTTCTCACTGGTAATTTCTGCATGGTCTGGATTTTTTGAATTATCAGTGAATTTGAGATATTCAAATTCTACTGCACAGTCTCTAGGATCTT